AATTGCAGTTTCTGTGCCATTATCTGTTGCAGAAGATGAAAAATAGAGAAAGTAGAGAAATTCCACAAAGAACTCAATAACACTGTCCAAATTAAATGGACTCATACTTTAATACAAGGTGAACATGGGTAAGGATAGCATCTACAGAGAGATAGATACATCCATATATATTGACTCATACATATGGATGTTTCTTTCTATGTATGTTGGAACTTATCATTCAAGAGTAAGGAATGAAAGATGCCAAAAACTTGAAGAAAATATATAAGCCTCACATCACGAAAACTTTCTCTGATAAAAAAAAATTGTAGACACCTGGATGTGGTGGGAACCGGATAATGTCACGAAAAGCAAAATTAATTCTTTTCTTAGGAGATAGGAAACTACCTGTTACTGATGTGAAAATTATTTTTTAGTCGTCTGACTGAATATAATCAGACTGCTAACCTACTAATGATGAAAATTAATTTAAAACAGAAAGAATCAAAATGAGAGAAAGAGATGGTGTACAATTAAAATACCTTCCACATGACTTATTTAAATAAATTTTTGATACTAAAATTAGAAAGAGTTGGATAAAAGGACATGTCCACTGATTATAACAACTTAAATGACACAAACCAATTGCCATAATGTGAAAATGAAGAGTTAAGAGATATGCAATCTATTTGGGAAGCAGAGAAATTTGGCAGCCAAGACATATGCTTACCAAAGATGCTTGTTATTTTCATGGAGATACCCAAATGGACTAGGAATTTCTTATAGATCACAGAATCAGAGATATAGAGCTGGGAGGGACCTCAGATGTCATCTATTTCATCTCCTCTAAGTTTACAGGTGAAGAAACTAAGGCCCAGGCCAATTAAGTGATGAATTGCCTAAGCTCACTCCTGTAGTAGCCATCAGTGGTCATATTATGAACCCTGGTCCTCTGCCTCCAGAGCCCATGCTCTTTCCACTATACCACATGATGGCACAGTCCTCCATTTGTTTTGTTTGCGTATGACTTTGTGTTAGTTGCATCAAGCCCTGGGTCAAATAGGTAATGCGTGGAGCCCAGAATTTAATAATAAGAGAAGAGTGACCTGGGTTGCCTTCAGAAAATGTCCACGCTGTTTAATGACCCCAGGCTCTTCTCTGAAGCAAAGGACTATCTTTTTAGTACTGCAGTTCTTCCAGAGATATAGCATAGTTGAGAGTCAAGGAATGTTATAGTCTCCAAGGAATTGAAGTTGAGGCTCACCAAAAGAGGCTGCTAAGTGATGCAGAGGATAGAGAGCTCTACCTGATGTCAGCCTAAACACTTACCAGCTATGTGACCCTGGATAAATCCCTTAGCCTCTGTCCACCTCAGTTTCTCATCTGTAAAATGGGAATAATAATAGCACCTACATTCCAGAGTTATTGTGAGGATCAAATGAGATATATTTGTAAAGTGTTTTATAAACCTTAAAGAACTATATAAAACATTTTAAGCATTTCTCCTCCTCCTCCTCCTTCTTCTTCATCATCATCTTCTTCTTCCTCTTCTCCTTCTCCTTTTGCTTCTCCACCTCCCCCTTCCCTTCCCTTACTTTCCCCCTGCCCTCTCCTTCCCCCTCCCCCTCCCCTTCCTTCTCCTCCTCCTTCTTTGTAATATTGATGATGATGCAAAGGGTAATGGAGGAACATGGTGGATGGAAATTGACTGAAGTACATTATAAATTATTATACAAGAAAAGAAATATAAAGGATATCATCAAAGAAATATATGATTCAATCAGTCAATTAATCAACAAGCATTTATTAAGCACCAACTGTGTGCCAGGTACTAAACTGAAGACACATACAAAATAAATAGAAAGTGATTTGAAGGTAAGGTACTAATAACTGTGGCAGCGGATGGAGGAGGGGAGAGAGGAAAGACCTTTTGAAGGAAGTGGTCCTTGAGTTCAGCCTTAAAGGGAGCTAGGGAGTCTAAGAGGCAGCCAAGAGAAGAGAGAAGATTCCAGGTTTTGGGGACACCTTGTGCAAAGACTGCAAGACTATGAATTTAGAAGCAGAAAGGACTGCATCAAGTCCAGCCACGAGAAACTGAGTTCCAAAGAGATCAAGTGACTTGGCCAAAGTAATACAGGTGATAAGTAGCAGAACCAGAATTTGAACTCAGGTTCTCTGATTCAGAATACAATACTTTTTGCACTATTCCATCCTGCCTTCCATGGAATGATGTGTCTAGGGAATAGCAAATAGGCCACCTTAGCTAGAACATGGAGTATGTGAAGGGAAATAACATATAATCAGCCTGGAAAGGTAAGCTGGAGCCAAATTATAAGCAGCTTTATTTGTTTCTATTTATTTATTTTTTTGGCCGGGCAACTGGGGTTAAGTGACTTGCCCAGGGTCACGCATCTAGTGAGTATTATGTGTCTGAGACCAGATTTGAACTCAGGTCCTCCTGACTCCAGGGCCAGTGCTCTATCCGCTGCGCCATCTAGCTACCCCTATAAGCAGCTTTAAATGTCAAACGGAAGAAGCTATATTTTATCCTTGAGACAATAGTGAGTCATTGAAGCTTATGGAGGGTAGGAGTAAATATGATCAGAGCTATGCTTAAAAATTATTCATTTGGGACTTGAATGGAAGATGGATTGGATATGGAAGAGACTAGAGACAGGGATACCGATTAGAAGAATATTTCAATTAAAACAAAAAAAAAGGTGGCCTGTGAGATAGCCTGTGTGCCCCAATGATATCTTTACAATATGAGGATGACTCAAGGAAGGCTCTCTGCATATTGGGTGGAGCCCCTATGGAAGATTTATAGGAGGATTCAGACAAGTGTTGCATCGGATAGGTGAGTGTCCATGGATTGACGCAAATACTCCTATCAATGAGGTCACAGATGTGTTGGAGTATTAAAAGCCAATGTCTATGAAATTGTTATTAGTATTGGTGTTCTCTCCTCCATCCATTTCCCATTTTCAATGTCAATGATTTTCATAAATAGATTAGGTTGGAATTGTTTTAATTACACATCATGTCCTTTTCTTCATTTTTATTCTATTTTTATTGGCAGCGATGTTTCTAGTGGTAAATGGAGTAGAAGGTTAAAGGCTGGTAAGTAAAGCTAATCGTACCCTCCTTATGGTCCCCACCCTTCTGTGGGTGGCTTTCCTCTTTCATAACTCATTTCTTAAGTCCAGGACTTTTTGAACCTTGTACTAAGGGAAACAACAATGGGAAAGGGGGGGAAATGCCCAAGGCAACTTCAGAAAGTTGCTGCAGCTCATTTACAAACCCTTATTCCTCCTAGGACTGCCTCACGCTCATTAGTTCCAGATATTGGTCTAGATTCATGGGTTCCATCTGCTTTGGGGCAGCTATAAAATGTGTATCAATAAAATCACCATTGTTGCTCTGAGGCCCTAATTCTATGCCAAGGAATGCCTCCTAGCAGTAATACAATCTGTGAATCTTGCAGAACATAGCTTCTCTCTTGGCTGTAGTTGACATCCCTCATCCCTGACACACGTGAATTAGTACTTAAATGAACATCCACTACGTCTTAGAGCAGGGGGGTCAAACACATGGTGAGCCACATGAAGCCACCACGCTTTTCAGTGACGCCCAAACCAGATTAAAATGTAATTGAGAAATACTTAATAAAATGAAAAAAATACAATAGAGTTTCAGTTCTTACACTCCTCCCCCTGCCATTTGGAGGGGGGGGTGGGGAGACAGACAGATAGAAAGACACATAGACAGATGCAGAGAGAGAGAGAGAGAGAGAGAGAGAGAGAGAGAGAGAGAGAGAGAGAGAGAGAGAGAGTTCCAATCTCTTCAGTCACTGGATCAAAGTATGCTGGGGATTTTTTCTTGACCTGCCAGTACATACTCTAATTGCTTGGTCATCTCCAGTTGGGGGGGAACGTTACATTTACACTAATTTTTGTTTTTGCTCTGACAAGACAGCATTTTACTTCATTCAGAGAGCAGAATCATGAATGACTTCTATATTAGTAATGTCATTTCCTGTCAAAATTTTATCAGTTTCATTTTTTGTTATGTTACTTGGAGATGCTTCCCAATTCTTTTCGCATAGAAATTATTCATGATGTGTTGATAAGAGGCTTCTGTGTTGTCTGCAAATCTTTGTTCTCTCTCATTGCTCCAGAACTTCAAACAACATATATTTTTGCTGGCCTCACCTATGTCCACTTTTACATTGAAGTCACTGAATATCAGAGTATATTGATTTGATTTGGAGAGTTGTATCAATTTCTTTGTGGATTTCTTGATCTCTTTATCTCATTCCAAATGTTCACATGTGCAATTATTTTCATAGTAGTCTTTTTGCAAAGACTTGTGAGTGCTTTTTATTTTTTGCCAAGACAAATGAGATGAACAAATATCTCAAGAAATAAAGCCTTCGGACATGATAAAACTAATCCATCTAACTCATTAATTTACCATCCCAAGGAGAACCTGTGGGCCATCCTTCCATTTAGCCACCACATTTTTTAAAATTTTTGGTTTCATTTGTAATGATGATATCAAGATTGATATGGTTCAGTTCCTCTAGTGATATATCTCATGTGTTGAACATTGGACAAGAATCTCACCATTAAGAGAACAATTGATAAATGAAAGTAAATAGTTTAAGAATTCTGTGATTCCCTCACACTTTACATCCTTTGCCTCCTTTACTGTTTCCATGCCAGCATTATTGCAGAATCATAATGGATTCCATAGAACTGAGAACTCATTTGAATTTTTCTTGGTTTCATAGGTTGCCATGACTGAAGAATTAATAGCTAAATGCCTGGCCTACTCTTAATAAGCCTCTCTGTATTTTTTTCAAGCTGGTCCTCGGCAAGGAAGTAGCCTTTTGCTAGTGCCATGTTTGAAGCCTTTCCAGTATGGGAGGAGCTGGCAGAGTTTGAATTTCAGCGACATAACCTTTGAGAACAAAGAGTAATCACCATGCCACGTTGAGACATCCAAATGGACCCTTGTGGTGTAATAACAGACATTTACTTGGGAACACATTATATTTTTTTCACTCTTTTTTTTTTTTTGCCAGGTGGCTTATTAGAAATATGATGAATGGTAGCCTGGGATTCTTTGCTTTTAAAGTGCTTAACTATTTTGGAATATAGTGGTTTGGAAAGTTATGCAGTGTGTTTAAACATGTGATGTGAAAAGAATTGCAGTAATTCCTGATTCACACTGAGGTGTGACTCAGGCCTGGGAAGATACTGTGTTCTCTTTGGGCAAATATTCATCCCCCAGATTTTTCTATGACAATTCAGCAGGTGATGAGGTCATCAAGGTAATCTTGCTAGTGGCTGGCAGATACCACCTGGGGATTTTAAAGAGAACAAGATTAGGAGAAGAAATGGTGCTAGGGCTAGGGTACAGCTTTCCATGGGCTGTGCCTCCTCTTAGTGAGGCTGATACATGTTGAGGTACACCCTTCACTTCTGCCAGTGTTAGCATTAGCTTCAATAAGGCATTTCTTTGGCAGCCCTTTGAAGCTCTGGCCCCTCTATGCTAAAAAGTATTGGCTTTCCAATCTTGACTTCAGAGTCCCAGAGATTCCCCAATCTAGTCTGAGAGATGACAACATCTCAAGCATTGAGACACAGCTTTCTATCTTCATCTGATGGGCATGTTGTTAACAGAGCTTTTACTAGTTCCCCGAGATAGAATGCTGTGCTGATTTAGCAGCTTGGGAAGTGATAAGCTTTTCTCCATAAATGTTGAAGGGAGGATTGTTTGCTGTTAATTAAATTTTTTTTTTGTTACTCATCTTGTATGCATCTTAAAAATTTTTTTTTTTACTTTGCTGTGACATGTGTATATGGGTGTGTGGATGTGTGTGTGTAACTCTGGTTGGTTAAGATCCAGTGGGAAAACAAGGGCTTATGAATAAAAGATTATATATCCAAACAGGTGCTAGACACCTACCTATAGGTAGATTTCAGGAATGCTACAGTACTACGACATATTATAGCAAAACTAAATATGTCAGATAGCATGCTTTATTTTTTGAGTTTTAAAAAAGGAGACAGTGTTTATATATATATATATACATATATATATATATATGCACATATATGACATATGTAAGGGATATGATATATTATACATTTAATGTATTTTATTTTTTCCCAATTATATGTTAAAACAACTTTTTTAACATTTGTTTTTATTGCTTTTTTTTTTAAGTTTTGAGTTCCAAATTCTATCCCTCCCTCCTTCCCACCCCTCCCACCCACCCTGAGATGGTAGCAATCAGATATAGGTTATACAAGTACAAGATATGATATGTTATATTGTATTTATGTATACATTATATAACAATAATAGTTAACACGTAGTGCTTACTATGTGCCAGGCATTGTACTAGGCATTTCCCAATTATTATCTCATTTTGTCCTCATAACAATTCTGGGAGGTAGGGGCTATTGTTACCCCTATTTTACAGATGAGGAATCTGAGGAAAATGGAGTTTAAGTGGCTTGCTCAGGACCACTCAGCTGGTAAGTGTCAGAGGCCAGATATGATCTCAGGTTTTCCTGACTGCAGGCCCAGTTCTCTATCCATTGGGCCACATACCTGCTCCCTAAATATATTAATTTAATACATTATATTACTGTAAAGACATGAACAGTGTATTATATAATATGTATATAGAAAATAACACACATTATATATAACATGATGTTATATATTAACATAATATATTAATTTGACTTATGTGTAGTTTTGTTATATTTTATAGTAGTATAGCATTCCTGAAACCTACCTACAGGCAGGTATCTAGCATCTGTTTGGGTATGTAATATTTTGTTACAAGCCCTAGTTTTCCCACTGGATCCTGAACAGCCAAAGTTATACACATGCACACATACTCACATACACATACACACATGCATTTTAAAAATGTAGAACCTATCTTGGCATGCTCAAAGTGAATGACACATTAACCTTTTATGTTTTCACTATCCTGAATAAAGGAATTTTTTGTTTCAAAATGAAATTACTTTTAGCCTAAAATACCACAGCTCACCTTTTACCTAGTAATCCTCCCAATAACTACAAATCCTAGAATCTCTGAATCTCTTAATTTTTCTACTCTAAGGTATGGTGTAATGGACAGACCATTAGACTTGGAATCTGGAAACCTGGGTTAGAACTTTGGCTCTAATACTAGCTGCAGGAACATAAGAGTCAAACCAACCAATGGAGCCTCCACCATTTCTGCATTTGCAAAACCAGTTAGGGGTACAGTGGACAGTGTGCTGAGCCTGGAGTCAAGAAGACTCATCCTTCTGAATTCAAATCCAGCCTCAGGTACTAACTAGCTATGTGACCCTGGGAAAGTCATTTAATTCTGTTTGTCTCAGTTTCTTTACCTGTAAAATGAGCTGGAGAAGGAGATGGCAAACCATTCTAGTATCTTTGCCAAGAAAACCCCAAATGGGGTCATGAAGAGTAGGACATGACAACAATAATAACAATATTTATCTCATAGCGTGGTTACAAGGAAAGTGTTTTGTATACCATAAAATGCCATATAAATGTAGTATCATTATTTGTAGTTTTGGAGGTGATCTGAGTTCAGCTTTGAGGTTAGGGTTTTTCTTAATTCCTCAAGATCCATTTTTCCAACGTACATCAAATATACCCCCTGAAGGCCTTGCTTAATGGCGCTGTGTCATGACTCACATATTTCCTACTCTCTTTAGTTGTGCACCCTATTGACAGAACAGATAAGAAAAATAACATTTTGGAACAAATAATGTAGTCTGTTGGAAATACTTACCTCCTACAGGTACGGGCCCAGCCAGAGCATTGTGGGAAAATCAGGTTTTCAAAACATAAAGCACATGCTGGCAAACATATTAAAAACATATTAAAAATTAAAAACATATTAAAAAGCTAGCATCAAACTGTTTCATTTCCTCAAATGATCAGATTAAAAACTTGTAATGTCCAGGGGAGAGAACTGAAAATTAATCTACAAGCGGGTTTTAGTAATGAGTTTGTTTTTGTATGCTTTGGTTAAGTTGAAGAAGGCAGACATCTGGGGAAGTCTAGCCTGCAGCTGGAGAGAGTGCTCTCTTAATGTAACCTATTAATTTTTGTAATGGTGCAAGGAAAGGAGAGGGGAGGGATCTGTTATGCCTTTACTGAAGTAAACGGCACAATATGAAGGAGAACTGCCATTCAAAATTTTATGAATATTGATAAAGAAGTGAAAAGTATGTATATATAATATATTTATGGGTTCTTTGAGGTTACAATATCCTTTGAAAATAGTGACCTAAAAAAAAAACCTTCTGCTGCAGTTCTTAATAATGAATGAAGCCAGTTCTTCAAATCAGGAATGAAGGAAACAGTATGTGCAAAACAACAATGGAGAGCTAATGTAGCCAGGAGAGAGGCAGGGATCTGGGAAGAGGGAAGAGAAAGGAGGAATAAAGGCCCCTTTTCCTGTGGGCACACGGAAAAACTCCCTCAGGTCTGAGACTCTCTGTGAGTCACAGCCACTCACAAGCTATGAGATCCTTCCCCAAGCCAACCAGAAGCTCATAGAAGCATTAATTTAAGAGATGGAAAGGCCATCTAGAGGTCACCTACTTCAACCCCTTCATTTTATAGATGAAGAAACTGAGGCCAAGAAAGGTTGAGTGACTTGATTAAGGTCCCACAGTAAGTGCCACAACTATGGTTCCAACTCGGGCCCTCTGCCTCCAAATCCATTGCTCTTTCTATTATACAATAAAACAAAAAGGGCATTTAATCAAATGACAAAGCAAACAAGATGGTAAGAAAAGATCCCCCTATGTCCACATTCTTGCACATCGTAGTATTACCAATGGGAGACATGCAGAGAATAAAAGAATAACAACAATAATAATAAGCATACATATAGCACTTTGAGGTTTGCAAAACACTAGACATATATTACCTTACTTGATCCCCACAACAACCCTGGAAGGTAAGAGCTATCATTATCCTCATTTTGCAGAGGAGGAATTTGAACTCAGGAAGAAGAGTCTTGCTAACTTCAGGCCCGACTCTCTTATCCTCTGCATCATCTAGCTGTTTGCTTTTAATTCTCATTAAACCTATACTTGCAAATTGAGTCTCCTAAACTCATTTTTTTTTCTTGCAAAAAACAAAAACAAAACCTAAAGGGCTTTGTGGGGGCTGCGTTGAATTGAATTAGCTCCCAAGATCCTCCCTGATTGCCATGCAAATGAAACTAGAGAGGGTTACAAAAGGCTAGATGAAACAAACAGTCAGATAATGGGCCTCCATCCCTGCTTCACTTTCCTTTCTTTATTATGCATACCTGTTTCTACTATTCATGAATGCCAATAAATTTTCCAGCACAAACCTCCCTGTTCTGTCTATAGCAGTATGAAACAATTCTTCCCTAGGTGAAAGATTCACAATGGAAAATTTTTCCTCCCTTATTTTTGTGCTAATAAATAGTATAGTCACTTGGGTAGAATGGGAATGATTGGATCCAATATAAACACTCCACCTTCAACATTTAGCAATAATCTTCCTGGTAAAAATATTTATTTCCGTGAGGTTCAAATAAAAGGTTAAAATATCTGGTCCTTAAATAATAGTACTTATAGAGCCTTTCAGAATGTTTCAATATTTCTGCTGTAATAAAGTGGTTGAATCAATAGATTATTTTCCAACTTAGAAAACCATATACTTAGAACATCTTGCTAAGGGACTACAAATTTCCTTGAGTTTTATGACCAAGTCTATATTTTTAGTCCATCATTTCTTCATTTGTCCTTTGTTGTAACACTCTCTCAGGGACTCAGACCTGCAAATTGCATGATCAGAACTTTTTCGAAGTGGAAAAGTCAAGCTTAAAAAAAATTGCTAAGGAGGGTTGTTGTCAAATAAGATACATATGGCAATCTGCAAACCCTAGGTCCAATGTGTGGCAGCTATTGTTATTATTATTATTATTTAACTGTTAAATACACAGCATTATCAAGAGACAATAGAAATTGATTCTTTGCTACTTTTAATATTATTTAATATTATTTTATAATATATTTATATAATATATGTATTTGTATTATTATATTCCACTGTCAGATAACTCAATAAATTAAATTAACTCTCATTAAATTAAGTAAGTCTCATTCAATTACCATTCTTTTTATTTTAATTGGGAATTATGTACCTAGAGCTGACCAGAAGCAGAACGATGAAGTTTGTCTTTGGGGTCTTCTTGTCCTGCTGTCCTTAAGGACCCTTTCCACTAGTACCTACCTGGTAGCCTTGTGCTGTCCTTTACTTCTCTCTGTTCTTTACCACAGCAATCTGGGCAGCACCCTTCATGAGCCTGGCTTCATCCCTTGTCCTTTCCAAAACGTCTCCCTAAAGAACCTCTTCTCAGAGGATCCTGATAGCTACTAGGCTACAGTGAGTAATGGCAGTCATATTAAATTCAATTCAACAAACATTCATTGAAATCACACAATGTATAAACAATTAAGGCCCTGGGGATACAAAGATGTTATGGTTTGGAGCCAGAAGGTACCTTAGAGATACTTAACCCAACCTCCTCATTTTGTAGATGGGGAAACTGGCACCCAGAGAGTTGTAATAACTTGCCCAAGGTCTAGGGTTTCATTCAAGTCTTCTTCAGGCTCCAAATGCAGGATTTTCTTCCACTTGCACTGGGCTAACTCATCATAGATGAGTCTTTGCTCTTGAAGAGGCTATAATCTAGCAGGGTCGTGGAAGTAAGTAAATGTAACGAAAATTATAATGTAGTATACTTTTTAAAGTATTATGAGAAAAACTGGAGGAGAGAAAGAGTCTGGAAAGTTTCATGGAGAAGTTAAGTCTTGATGGAAAGGCAGGCACGTCTAGAGAGCCCATTCCTGGAGGGAGACAGCATGAGCTAAAGCTCAGGGGACAAGGCAGGATGACATGGGGTAATAGTGAGTCAGAAAAATAAATCCTTGCAATTGAGTTAACTAGCTAATGTGTTACCTCTCCCATATAGCCTAATGTTTGGTCTTTAAATAATATTCCTTGAAGAAATGATGCTGATGGTAGGGATTGCAGGGAAACTGCAGACTAGCAAGGGAGATTTTGGAAATCAGGTAGAGTCCCCTCTCAAAATTGTACTACATGGAGGCAGCTAGGTGGCGCAGTGGATAGAGGGCCAGGCCTGGAGTCAGGAGGACCTGAGTTCGAATCTGTCCTCAGACACGTAACACTCACTAGCTGTGTGACTCTGGGCAAATCACTTAGCCCCAACTGCTTCACCAAAAAACAAAACAAAAAACCAAAAATTATACTACATGGGCAACTGTCTAACCTACGTGCAAGGCTAGACCTGTCTGTGTACAATGCAGGCAGTATCCAATTTAAACAGGTTGCAGTCTGGAAGTGATGGATTAAATTAAACTTAATAAAAATACTGAATGATGAGATATTATAGTATCACCTTGGGATGCATTTTCTTTTTTTAAAAATAAGATAGGGTCAGAGAGAGAGAGAGTAACTTCAGTTGGGCAGCTCAAAAAGTAACGATCTTTTCTAATCTGGATTAATATTGTAACGGAAACAGATTTTCTCTCACAAAATATCTTGCTCTTCATGGTAGAACCGATATCTACCAGGGTCAGTTTTCCCTAAAAGGCAACAAAGCTGTCTCTGGGACCTTGCTGGTCCTTGTTTTTCTTGGCACAGCTTCTTGATCACCTAACAGCGTTAAAAAGAAGTCCCATTCACATGGAGTTGGAGACTCTCTGATTTGGTGAAGGTCAGAAGACCATGCGAGTCACCACAATCTGCCCAGCTGCCTAAACATATTTCCATATGGACACAAGGTGGGGCATGTCTATAAAAGCAAAATGCCACCGTTATCTTTGTTGCATATCCTTGCTAACTCTTTTGATAACTGTTCAATGACTTATAAGTGTCTCATTTTATCCTAAAATCAAATCTGAACTAACAGGGTACTGACATCAGACCTGCCCCTAACACCTTGATTCCCATTATTCACAGAGACCCCATTGATTCCCTAAGTAACTCCCTATGTGGAAAGAGATCTATAAGAGGACACTACTTGGCTTGGTTTCTAGGTCTCTCCCTTTTTTTATTTCAGTCTTGCTAGTCCGAAGTTCCCCACCATCCTGGAGTCTACATACTCATTTATTTTCTTAATGTTTTTCATCCTGTCCACACTTAGCTACCATAACAGATATTCTCATAGCTGGGCATACGTTAACCAGTGATATTGGGAACAAAGGAAGCTGTGTTGTCAATAAGAAGTCTGTTCCTTAAATAAAATTTCAGCATCTTGTTACATCATCAGGTGGGCTAACTAGAAGATTACTGACCTGGAAGGAACCTTAGAGAGAATGTAGTACAGTGCCTTTGTTTTACAGATATGGAAACTGAGACATGAGGTGTGTGTGTATGTGTGTGTGTGTGTGTGTGTGTGTGTGTGTGTGTGTGTGTGTGAAATTAAGTGACTTACTCAAATTCCCCAAAATAGTAATTAGCAGAACTAGGATTTAATCCCTGGATTTAAAAATTCATTGTTCTTGTGGAATGCAATATATATTCTTCTCTGGACTCTGTCGCTGATCTGTAGCAGTCTGGTCACCAATTCTCCTTAGACCCACATTTGAGGAATTTCTAATGTCCTTGAGAGTAATAGATGTGAAGAACTGATCCAAGTTATTTCCTGATCTACTGCCTGAATTTTTAAGGCAGCGAAGCTTTGGAATCTTTTGGGCTGTAGAGTGGAGAGTGCTGGAGTTAGAGTCATGAAGACCTGAGTTTAAATTCTGCCTTAGTCAATTGCTGAATGTGTGATTCTGGGCATGTAATTTAATCTTTCTGAGCCTCAATTTCCTCATCTGTAAAATGGCCTAATAATAGACCCTACCTTCCAGAGTTGTTATTAGGATTGAATGAGATAATGTATACAAGGCACTTTAAAGTCTAAAGATGCTATATAAATGCTATTTGTTGTTGTTGTTGTTGTTAATGTTGTTACCTCTCCCTTTAGGGTGTGGGCATGTTCCTTGGTACCTTAATTATATAACAAAAGATAGCTTTTGATTAAGTTTCAGTGACCGGAGCTGTCCAAAAATGAATTGGTAAGTTTGGAGTTGCCTCTTGTTAACTCCCCATCTTGGGCTACTCCCAAGATGATTTGATTGTCTCATACTCTCGTAGGAGAAGCCACCTCTTTGTGCTGGTCTATAAAAATGAGGCAAAAGACCTACTCAGCCCTTTGGGGCTCCTTTTTTACTTTGTGTTCTAGATCCTGAGAGAACAGCAGAGATGAACAGACCTGCATCCTGGGCATAGAAGAACCTGTGCATGCATAAGTCTTTCCATCTAGGAGCTGTTCGTGGCTACCTTGCAGCATAAGTACAGGGGTGCTGCATGTACCTGCTCACATTACCCAAGATGGGAGACCACAGACAATTTCATTCCTGGAGTCAGGAGGACCTGAGTTCAAATCTGTCCTCAGACAGATAGTATGATTTCCCAAATCCAACCTGTTAGCCAGAGAAAGAAGACTTCTTAGACATTACCGGCCTTGGAGATTGCTTCAAGAGTAACTCAAATTCAAGAGTTTGGAAGAGAAGGGAATTCCCAAGTAGTACATCTCTTGGAAAGAGAAAAGGATTGCCCAGGTATGGCCATGACATGGTAGGGAAAAGACCTATGATTTGCTCTCTACTGGCATTGTGAGTTATTCAAGACAGATATGGTTGTCCTAGGTTTTTGGAGCTGTGTTAACAGCTATGACAGAGTAGCAAGTAATTGGGAGAAATGTGAGAAAATTAAGAATGAGAAAGTAGGGTATTAGGTTAAAAGAGATTTCTTTGTTTGTTTGTTTTTTTGCTTTTTGGTGAGGCAGTTGGGGTTAAGTGACTTGCCCAAGGTCGTGCAGCTAGTGAGTGTAATGTGTCTGAGGTCAAATTTGAACTCAGGTCCTCCTGACTCCAAGGCTCTGGAGATCTATCCACTGCGCCACCTAGCTGCCCCAAGAGGTTTCTTAGTAGGAAGAACCATTCTAGGGATCTTCCAAAGAAAGGAGTTGATTTAGATGAGCAGAGATTTATAATGAAGTTAGGCCAGACATCATATAAACTCATGTCTAGGCCATGGATTAGGTGAGATTGAATAGGGAGGGGCTTCTTCAGTTTGCTATTTTGCACATCTATGGACATGATTTGAAAGTTTTTTTGTGAAACTATCTACTCCTTTTATACTAAAAAATGGGAAGCATTTAATTCATTCCACTCATAAGGTGCTTAATCAATATCCAGCCCTATTCTTTCTACCTAGGAAGAGAGAAGAAGCTAAGTGAATGTATACTGGCAGAACCATTGAATTTACCTTTGGGAAAAGGAATTACTCCTCCTCAGTGCTTAGCATAGTGCTTAGCACATAGTAGGCACTCTAGTGTTTACATGGTGCTTTTGGGACCCCAAAAGGAGAGTCAAGTCAGTCAACAAACATTTCATAAGGGCTGATTGTATGCTAGGTACTGAGGACCCAAAAAAGGCTATAACACTCAGGTTGTAATCTGGGAGATAATATTAAAATAACTAAGTACATACAAAATATCTACATATCTATATCTGTCTCTCTATGTAATATATAATATCTTATAAGTATCATAATTATAATATGTGGTATATATTTTAATATAATAATACTATATGCACCCACATATACACACACAACCTATTTGGTCTCACTGTAGCCTTTGACACCATTGATCACTATCCCCTTTTGGATATTCTCTTCTCTCTTGGTTTTGTGATACTTTTTCCTCCTGGTTCTCCTCCTACCTGTCTGACAGCTCCTTCTCCCGCTGCATCTTCTTCCAGATCATGTGTACTAATTGTAGATTAATCACAAAGCTCTGTCCTGGGCCCTATTCTCTTCTACCTCTATTTTATATTGCTTGGAGAGAGAGAGACAGAGACAGAGAGACAGAGACAGAGAGACAGGGAGACACAGGGAGAGAGACAGAGAGAGAGACACACACACACACACACACACACACACACACACACACACAGAGAAAGAGAGAGGCACAGAGAGAGAGAGAGAGAGAGAATGGAAGACAATCTAAAAGGACCAGGAATGGCCTGCTGCAGAAGGTGTGCTGAGTTGAGTTTTGAAGGAAGCCTAAGAGGTGGTGGTAAGGAGAGAGAACATTCCAGGCCAGTGCAAAGTCACAGAATACGGAGATAGAGTGTCAGGTGCAAAGAACAGCCAATAGGCCAGTGTCACTGCATCATGCAGTTCACGGAAGACTGGAAAAGGAGGCCGAGCCAGGGTACTTACATGCCTCTTTCCTCTAGGATGTGGGCCTCACCCATTTTCATTTACAATATTTATCTATTGATTAATTCAGTCCATCAGCTAGGTGCACAAACCCGTTCTTTCTTATAGATTCCAGAGCCTTGGCAGGCCCATCGTTAGTTGCCAGTTTTCTGTGACCTTCGTATTCCTGGGGGTCATGGTGGCAATCCACAACAAGATCATAGGGTTTAGCGCTACAATGGACCTTAAAGGCCATCTAGTCCAACCTTGTCATTTTATAGATGAGGAAAAAGAGACCCAGAGAGGTTAAGTGTTTTGTCCAATATTACCCAGCAGAGCTAGGATTCAAGCCTGGGTCCTTTGGCTGTAAATCTTTTCACTCTGTCACACTAGGCATCCAGGTGGTACAGTGGATAGAATGTCAGGTGTGGAGTTAGGAAGACCAGAGTTCAAATTCAGCCTCAGACACTTCCTAACTGTGTGACTCTGGGCAAGTCACTAAATCCTGTTTGCCTTAGTTTCCTCATCTTAAAATGAGCTGGAGAAAGAAACGGCAAACCACCCCATTATATTTGCCAAGAAAACCCCAAATGGGGTCACAAAGAGTCAGACATGACTGAACAACAACATTGTGCTGCCTCTTTCTTTGGACAATGACATCATATTTTCCACATTCTCACAGTTCCTTTAACATTCTTGGGTAAATATCATCTTGTCCTAATGGTTTATTTACTTCTAAGTTTCATTGATTCTAGAACAAACATAAAATGTTGTACTATGCACATGATACATATGTGGACTATTTAAGACCTTATTATAATTCTCTTAGTGGTATCTAAGGTGACCTGAACCTAGGGAGTGTGATTGTCTGATCATAAGCGGTATGCAATCACTCAATCAATGGAGGGGAAGATGTGTTGTGGTATCCCACCCTCACCATGATAGCCAGCTGTAAGGTTTATCTCCTACACAACTGCATCTGCCCTTATGCCCCAGTGCTCTCCCGCTCTATCACTTCTGTATGATGCAGAGTTCCCAATCTCCCCTCTTTAGCTGTCTGTCTCAACCTTTTTGGTCTCAGTATATATAGCCTTTGACACTATTGATCACCATCTCCTTTTGGATATTCTCTTCTCTCTTGGTTTTTGTGATATTCTTCTCTCCTGGTTCTCCTCCTACCTATCTAACAGCAACTTCTCCTGCTGCATCTTCTTCCAGATCATGTGTACTAATTGTAGATTAATCACAAAGCTCTGTCCTGGGCCCTATTCTCTTCTACCTCTATTTTATATTGCTTGGTGATCACGTTTGCTTCTATGGATTTAATGGTTATCTCTGTATACATGGTTCCCATATTTCTCTTTCAAGCTCTAATTCTCAGCTCCAGTCTTGTATCTCTGGTTGCCTATTAAGACATTTCGATTTGGATGTCTTGTAGACATCTTAAACTCAACAGGGCCATAACTGAACTCATCTCTTCCCCCAAACTTCCATGTTATAGTCAAGGACACAACCACCATCCTAGTCACTCAGGATTGAAACTTTGGTGTTATCCTCAGCCTCTCACTCATTCACCCCACCTTTGCTAAGTCTGATCCTTTGCTAAGTCACGGTGATTCTATCTTTATAACGCCTCTCATTTATTTTCCCTCCTCTGGCACGGCAGCCACTCTGATGTGGGCCCTCATCACCTCACACCTGACCTATTGTAAAAGACTCTGGTTTCCCTGCCTCAAGTCTCTCCCCTCTGATTCATCATTCACTCAGCTATATTACATTGTTCTTCCTAAGGCACAGGTCTGTCCATATCACCCTCCTGTTCAGTAAACTCCAGTGTCTCCCTATTACCTACCTCCAAGATCCAATAGGAATCCCTCTGTTTGGCTTTTAAAGCCCTTTGTACCTAGCCCCTTCCTAGTTTTCCATGCTTCTTACATCTAACTCTTTACCACATACTTTGTGGTCCAGTGACACTGATCTTTTTGCTTTTCCTTTTGGAAGACAATCCACCTCCCATCTCCCTGACTCTGTGTTGGCCTGGAATTTTCTCCCTCCTCATCTCCATCTCCTGGTTTCCTTCAAGTCGAGGCTAAAATGCCACTTTCCACAAGAAGCCTCTTCTGATCCTTGTTAATGCTAGATCCTTCCCTCTCTTGATTATCTCCACTTTATCCTGCATGTGACTTATTTGCATACTGTCTTCCGCATTAGACTGTGGGCACCTTGAGAGGATGGACTTTTTTGGTCTTTCTTTATATGTTCAGCATTTAGCAAATAGTAAATGCTTAATAAATACTTATTGACTTCAGCTCTAAATCTGTGATCCTGTGTATCAGATGACATTTACTTTTCCAAAGTTTTAATCAGACTAATCAGACATATGGGGCAGCCAGATGGTACAGTGAATTATCGTGCTGGGCCTGGAGTAAGGAAGACTCATCTTCCTGAGTTCAAATCCAGCCTTAGACACTTACCAGCTGCGTGACCCTGGACAAGTTACTTCACCCTGATTGCCTCAGTTTCATCATCTGTAAAATGAGCTGGAGAAGGAAATGGCAAACCACTCTGGTATCTTTGCCAAGAAACACCCAAATGGGGTCACAAAGAGCCAGATATGACTGAAATTACTGAATAACAACAACAATCAGACAAAATTGATGTTGAATAAATGTTGCATTGGAAGAGGACAACTAAATTACTATAAAAATATTGTTAAATCTGATGCTTTTATGTTAGCATGTGAGCTTTTGGAGGGCAAGGACCTTATATTCCCCTTTCTTTGTATTTCCAGTGCTTAGTAAAGTGCTTTCGACATAGTAAGTACTTAATAAATGCTTATGGTCTGACCATACTTTTATAAATTTTATTATAATAATCTCAAATGATACATTTCTTATTAGTTATACACAGAAAAGCATGAGAAGGAGTATGGCACAGTGAATAAGGGGTGGCTTGGAGGCAAGAAAACTTGGGTTTTCCAGAGTATTATAGTAATAATAGCAACAACATCTAGCATTTACATAGTGTTTCAAAGTTTGTAAAGAGCTTTACAAATATTATCTCATTTTATCCTTACAACAGTCCTAGGGAGTAGGTGCTATTATTATCACCATTTTATAGATGAAGAAACTGAGGCAGACTTGCTCAGTTAAGTGACTTGTCTAGAGTCACACAGTTAGTACATGTCTGAGGTCAAATTGAACCCAGGTCAAATTGAATCCCTGACTATAGGTTTAAACCACTATACCAACTATCTGTGCCAAGTAAACTCCTCAGAGGCAAGGACAGTTTTTCATTTTGTCTTGTATCCCTAGTGTACCCAAAGCTTTATAGAGAGCTGTCTGTGTGACCATAAGCAAGTCATTTAGCTTCTCTGTATCTCCAAGCAATTACCTAAGATTATAAATCTCAGATGCCTTGCCAGTCTTCTTTGATGGTAGGAATTTCCACATCAGGATGAAATCATAGCTCCTGACAGAAAAATAAATACAGAAAAAAATAATGGGACCATTTTATATCATCTTTAACATACCAGGGGAAAAAATCTTCTTCCCTCCAACTCCAATGTTTTCCCCTGTAGTTAGAACAGAATGTAGTTGAGGATTCATGGGAAGTGATCACTCAACAAATCAATTAACAATTATTAAGCACCTGTGTCCCAGGCACTGTGCTAATGCTGGGTATACAAAAAGAGGCAAAAGACAGTCCTGCCTTCAAGGAGCTTATGATCTAATGGGAGAGATAACATGCAGACAAACATATGCAAAGCAAGCTCTGTATAGGATAAGTAGGAAATAACTAACCAAGGGAAGGCCCTAGAATTAAGGGGGGTTAAGGAAGGTGTCCTTCCTTTGGTAGAAAGTGGATTTTAGGTGGGACTTAGAAGGGAGGGCCTGGTTAATTTTTACCTTCCTCTTATGAGAACCAATCCCTGCCATTCTGTGAAAAGAAATAACGTGAAAAACAATCTCAATGATAACATTTTAAAATGGTTATACCGAGTAATAGGGTTCACACTGCCAACCATGGAAACATCTCTTGAATGGATTTCTGGGGCATGGGTATGATACACTGTTTCTTTTTTTTAAAACAATGATTATTTATATATTTTTACCATTAGTTTTTAAAAACTTTGAAGTACCAAATTCTCTCCCTTTCTCCAGCTCTTCCCTCACCCATTGAAAAGGCAAGTAATATAATATAAGTTATGCATGTGAAATTACATTCTTAGTATTGTCTGTGAGTGAGACAAGGTTTGACTTCTCCTGGTCTGTCTCCTTCGTTGTAGTCAGATGAGAGCCGGTCTTCATTTCAGGGAGGCAGCCACTGGATCTAGACATGAAATATGGCTTCTGTGAAAGCCATAATCCTTACTCAATTCTACGATAGGCCCCAACTTTTTGTCATTATGTAAAAGAAATTTATACTTAATGCCTAACCAGACAGTCTAGAGGGATGAGGGAAGGAGCAGAAGAGCAAATTAGATACATTCTAATTTACAAATAGAATAATTCCCATTTCCATTGGGCTTTTTGGTTTCCAATGCACCTTCCTGACAACAACCTTTTGAGAAAGACATGACAAGTATTCTTGTCCCCATTTTTCAGATCAGGAACCTGAGGTTTAAGAAGATTAAGTGAATTTGCCCAAGGTCACCAGTCAGAGCAACCTCAGCCTTGCTTCACTCCAAGGCTGGCATTCTTTCTCCTCTACCCTGTTTCTGCCTAAGAAATTAAATATAAGAGCTGAATTCTGGGTAGAAATTGAGAACTTAGAGATAAATAATACCTTGATTTCACAGTAATTTAATATTTTTACACTATTGCTATTTATGCTGACCAATTGAAGCTTGAAGCCCTCCCTTTGGCTCATTTTTAGCTTTTGTATAGCGTTTTTTTTTTAACTCCTGTGGCATTTAATTTCTGTTGCTCACTTTCCCATGAGTAGCTTTTAAGAAGAGATCCAAAGCACAGACACAGACGGCTGAGCTAGAGAGACTCCGAACCCAAGCCTGCATTTCAAGATCAGATGTACTGAAATTTCAGTGGAGATGTCGCAGTGAGATGGAATGAACAGTAGACTTACTATGTGAGTTGGGGCAGGTCTCTTGTTATCTCTGTGTTTCATTTTCCCCATCTGAAAAAGGAAAATTATAGTATTTCTTTAACCTACCTCACAGCATTGTCATGAGGATCAAATGAAGTGATAGCTAATGAAAATCACTCAAAAAATGTTTATTAAGCGTCCACTACGTGCCAGACATTGTGCTAAGTGCTGTAAGTACAAAATGCTATGCAAAAATAAGGCATCATTGTTGCTGTCAGGATTGCCATGGAAACCAAAGGGTTCCCAAATCTGAGGGTGGAGGAGTAGCATAAGCATTGCCCTGGAGGGAGATGACTTGGGTTTGTACAGGTCAGTTACTACAACCCCAAGTGACCACCACTCTCCTACATGTACCATTTTTTCCATTAAGAATGTAAGCTTCTTAATTATCTCACTTTTGTATATTTTATTCCCAGAGTTTCACACAGTGTCTGACACATTTGTTCTTCTTGTTGCTTCAGCCATTTCTAACTCTTCATGACCCCATTTGGGGTTCTATTGACAAAGATACTGGAGTGGTTTGCCATTTTCTTCTCCAGCTCATTTTACAGATGAGAAAACTGAGGCAAATGGGGTTAAATGACTTGCCCAGGGTCACACAGCTAGTAAATGTCTGAGGCCAGATTTGAACTCAGGAAGATGAGTCTTTCTGACTCTAGGTCTGACACTCTATCCACTGCACCACCTAGCTGCCCTTTCTTACAGATATATAAAATCTAAATCTGCCTAATCTCAACTTCCACCCATTTCTCCTGGTTCTTCCCTCTGGATCCAAACAAAACATCTATCCTTTTTTCCACATATAGTCTTTCAAGTACTTGAAGACTCCACCCATGTTCCCTCTCATTTTCTTTTTGGTCACTGCACACACCAAGAGATTTGACACTTCTTGACAGACATGGTGAGTTCACACTGCTGATCCATATAATTGGTTCTATAAGGTGTTCTAGTATCACTATAACCCAGAACAAGTCAGCCAACAACACATTGTAGGTCTTGCATGCTCTGTTTCCCTATCATTCAACAAACATTTATTGAGCATTTATCTGCCAAGAACTGCGGTAGGCCCTGGAGATACAAAGAAACATGAAACATTCCCTTCCCCAAAGAGCTTCCATTATATTGGGAAGCAAAATATAACATAGATATGTATGTATACACGTATATACAGACATACACACACACATACATAAACACGTATTTATGTATGTATGTACAGCACGTATACAATAAGGTGATTTTAGGGTGTGTGTGGGGTGGAGGGAAGCATAGAAGAAAGGCGTCAACAAACATTTAGAAAGGGAGCCCAAAAAATCCCTATTCTCAGATTTTGTTTCTGGCAGGCAGATTTAGAGTGAAAGCTCTTGTGGGTTTTTAAAAGACTCAGGAGGAATCAATAGTATTCTGTTATACTGTTCATTGGCTCAGAGTTGAAACTGGGTGTTTAAGACAACAGAAAAGGCAGTTTGGTTTTTTTATCCTTAGGGAATTCATGCAACAACTAAGAGATTATTTTTCATTAAGTAAAACTAATTGCAAAACAAAAACACCCACCTTTCAACTTCATATATTACGGCTTCTTCAAGACTTTTAGTTTATTGGCATGAGACATGATGAAAATTAGACATTCTGTGTCCAAATCTCCATGCAAAGGAAACCACTCCCCGTGGGTGATTCTGAAGGAGGGTATGCAATATTTTTCTGTTTGGTTAGTAGTTTCCCAGGGTGTAAGATGTTCCATCAACTTCAATTTTCTTCTTGCCTGAGGGCTTTGGATTTCCCTGATGCAACAAAGCACCTTTTTTGCAGTATTTTTAAAAAATCTGTTAGCAATAACAAGTTGAGAACATTCATTACAAACCAGACAAGGATGTTGGCTTTGTCTCAGACATCTAATTGGAATTGCAAAGCATTTTCCACTGAAATGTTATTGGCGCAATAATTTCATGAAATCAGAAAAGGAAAAAACCCAACTTGGGTTTTTGGTTTTTGTTTTTACTAAACGGGCATGAGTTCATGCAGTTATGATGTTGCTGGGTAAGGTCCACTTTTATTTTTCTTGAGGTTTTTCTTCCTTCAAGGGCTATCCTTCCTAAAATGTGTCCTCTAGAGTTTTCAGATTCTTTTGCAGCAATTCCTTCTCTTTCCCTGACCCCCTGCCTCCGAGTCTGACTCTTCACCAGGGCTGGAACTATAGCCAGGGAGTAACCTCGAGGGACTGCATAAATTTTGCAATCATTCTCTCCACACTCCTCTCCCAGGTTGACATGCACTCATTACAGCACCATCTCTACACAAGAGCCTCCTACTGAGATGACCTAACTTAGAGAAGCAGTGCAACATAATGGATAGACAGCTAGCCTTAGAGTAAGAAAGATCTGGGTTTGAATCTTGCTTCTTTTTATTTAAAATTCATTTTTAACTTAAAAACATAACAAAACAAGAGAACATTACCATGTACATAGTACAACATAAAAAGATTCACTATAAAACCATTCATTTACATTTCACACTGTTACCTTTTTTTTTTTTAAACCGTGTAGGTAGTACACTTCATTTTTATAGCTGCTCTGCTTTCTATGCTTCCTTCTATCCTTTCTTTTATTCTTTGCTAGGCACTTTAATGTTTTCCCTCCCTCCCCACCCCACCCGAGAGATGGTTATTAGATACAAATATGCATGTATCTATGTATACATAGAACCATACTACACATAATTCTATGTATCAGTTCTTTCTCTGGAGGCGGGTAGCATTTTCCTTCATAGGTCCTTTGCAGTCCATTTGAGTATTTATAATTTTCAAAGTGACTGTAGTTCTTGGCAGATAAATGCTCAATAAATATTTGTTGAATGATAGGGAAACAGAGCGTGTAAGACCGACAATGTGTTGTTGGCTGAATTGTTCTGGGTTATAGTGATACTAGAACATCTTACAGAACCAATTAGAAATCTATCTAAAACTCAAAATTGTTCTTCAAACAATATTGTTGTTACTGTATACAACTTTCTCTCGGTTCTGCTTGTTTCGCTCTTCATTATTTCATGCAAGTTCTTCCATGTTTTTCTAAAATCATTGACCTTATCATTTCTTCTAAGTATTCCATCATGATCACATACCACAACTCGTTTAGCCATTCCCCAATTCACGGGCATCCCTGACATTTCCATTTCCTTGCCACCACAAAAACAGCTGCTATAAATATTTTAGAACATATGGGTTCCTTTCCTTTTCCCCTGATCATCTTGGGAAACAGACCAAATAGTGGTATAACTGATTCAAAGGATATAGACGGTTCAGTGAATCTTGCTTCTGACAAGGAATAGCTGTGTGACCCCTAATGCAAATCATTTAACCTTTCAGTACTCTGTGCAATACTCTAAGACTACGAGCTACTGATCTAGGCAGGTGTATCCCATGGATATGTCTCCATTATTCAAGATTCTTGGAAAGATACAGTAAAAGATAAGTTTGTGTTGATAACTCTCTGATCATCACTCTCTGCTAAGGCAGGGAGATACTTACTCACCCAAGATGTTTTCTTCTGTCACAGAGGAGAGCTAGAACAGAGCTAAGTCAAAGTGATACCCTGGTGCTGACAAGGTACTCCACATGCTCCTGTCTGAAGATGATATTGTGCTAAGCCCCAGAACCCTGTGGAGTCACCCAGACCCTAAAGGAAATCCATGACACATCTGAAGGGGAGGTAATAAACACATGGCAAGTGGCTAATGCAGCCGAGAACACTCCTGAGTGTGGCTCAAACCAGAATAAAATACAATTGGGAAAATTTAACAAAAAAAATCAACAAAATATAGATAATGTTAATATGTGGTTTTCTAAGTCAATGTGTAGCTCACAAGGATACTTATGTATGCTTTACTGGCCCTCATTTCAGTTTGAAACCATTGGTCTAAAGAGGGACCTAATTGTACATATAGGAAAAGCCAAGTGAATGAAGAACGCTTATTGTCCAGATTATGATATACAATTAAATGTAAAACTTCTAGTGCTTGTCCATCTATCTATCTACATACACATATATCTATATGGTGCATGATATTTATGTGTGTATATGCATATATACACACATAAATGTATATATGCATACATGCGCACATACATACACGCACAGAACAAATATTGAAAATGGACAAAATTGGGCATAGAATTGAAGGAGACAAACAGGTGGGATAATTTTGGGAAATTAACAGGGATCCCAAGCTGCTCCCTGAAACAAATGATTGTCTTTTAAATACCAATTCTGACGATTTTGTACAGGTACGAATGATGGAACAGTACAATCTCTGAAGAAATGGAGCTGAAGATCACCTAAAGGTCAATGGAGAGATGCACGATGAATGTAAGCAGGCTGCCAGACATTAGAAATGAGGGATTAGTCAGGAGAAGCAGTATAAAGGATGTTACCAGGGAGTTGTGGGATCAGCTAAGAAGAAGGGGCCAATCACATAGATCAAGGGTTACTGCCCCACTACTGTCTTCAAGATGTCAAGAGAACATGAAGGAGGCTCCAGGGATGTTGGGTGGACCTCCCATGGTCAGCTTCTGGGAGGACACAGACAAGAGTTGCACAGGATGGGAAAGCACAAATGAGTTGCAATTTGTATAAAGGGAATACCCCCAAACTGCTGGCAAACTGATTTTCCTTGAGGGCAGATCTGACCAGGTCAATCCCCTACTCAATAAACTCCAATGTCTCCTTACTGTCTCTAGGATCCAGCATAAACTCTTCTGTTTAGCTTTTAAAGTCCTACCCAATTTGATCTTAATTTATCATTCCAGTCTCAGTGAACATTCCTCCCTTTCCCTGATTCTGTAATCCGGACCTCTTTGTTTCTCATACATGATATGCCATCTCTCATGTCTTTGCCTTTTCGCTGACTGTCCCCTAAGCCAGAAATGTGCTACTTCTTTACCTCTGTTTCACTGAAGCCTTAAGATGCAGCTCAAGCAAAACCTTCTACATGAACTCTCTCCTGTTCCCCCATAAAAGTCAGTGCCTCGCTCTAAAGCAATCTGATATTTAACTGCTTTGTATTTATTTGTATCATTCCTCCCTGTATTTCCTCTCTATATATGTACACACACATATGATGTTACTGTGTCCCCATTAGAATGTCAGCTCCTTGTGATTAGGGCATATTCATTTATAGGTATCATCAGAGTCAAGCTGAGAGGCTGGCATATAGGTCCTTAATAAGTGATTGGTGAGTTATTGAACTGCTGCTCAGATGAAGGGACTGAAAGGACCTCATTGGAGGCTGAGGAATGATTGAGGTAACAATGGTTATCAGGCATTGCAGTCCATCAGTTCATTTGCATATGACTTTTTTTAAAAAAAGTTTGAAATGTTATAGGTTGTGAAATTATAGATCAATACTATTTTCTGAGACTCTGGAAAGATTAGGTAAGGACTGATGGGATTCATTCCTGAAAGAAAGGTAGATTTCTTGGGGCAGCTAGGTGGCGCAGTGGATAGAGTACCGTCAGGAGGATCTGAGTTCAAATCCGGCCTCAAACCAAACACTTGACACATACTAGCTGTGTGACCTTGGGCAAGTCACTTAACCCTGATTGCCTCACTAAAAAAAAAAGGTAGACTTCTTGAGTTTTACCTAATAAAGTAAAACAGGCAAAAAAATGAGGTAAAAAATGAGGTAGTTGATAGAGTGCTGGGCCTGGAGTCAGGAAGACTTTGATACTTCCTAGCTGTGTGACCCTTGGCAAGTCACTTAACCCAGTTTGTGTCAGTTTCCTCATCTGTAAAATGAGTTGGAGAAGGAAATGGCCAACCACTCTAGTATCTCTGCCAAGAAAACCCCATATGGGGTCATGAAGAGTCAGATACGACTGAACAACCTTATAAGGTAAAGATTAGTCACTGATCACCAAGGGCTTTGATCTGAGGAAGATATAAGAATCCAATGAAGAAACTTTCAAGTCCTAAGAATAGCTAGAAGAAAAAGCAGGAGTAAATTGAACATAGGAGGAATAAAAGGAAATTGGGGACAAAAGAGAGAAAAGGCTTCTGGCTGAGACATCTGAGTCTTCAGCTCCTTTGCTGGGAACTTACTGAATTGAAGAAAGGCATTGCTTTGTTGACAGACTAGAGAAAAGGCTGGAGTAGTTGGAAGATCACTGGAGGAGAGTTAAAGCTTGATGCTGCATGAAGAGCTGTTGAGCCTGATTACTCTGGGACCATCTTACAATCTGAAAGAGGAGAAACCTCTCAGGGGTATCTGTATTGCCCCATGGGGTTCGAGAGAGAAACTGAGTGGGAAAGAGAGATTTTACATTCCTTTTTCGGGGAGCCGTGCTTTGCTGTGAGAAAAAGCTTGGGTCTATTTGCGCAAAACCTAATCCTCTGCTCTTGGTAGATGTGGTGAGTCGGGCTGTTTTCCACTTTAAAGGGATGACTTACCACCGAAAGGGCACAACACTTTTCTCCATGCGCTGTTAAGGGTGGCTATGAGCAAAACCTGCTTGTCACTGCTTGATCAGCTCAAGAGCAGATATGGAGCACTTTTGCCCAGCAAGAGAATGGCAAGGACTAGGAAGAAAGCAGATAGCAGAGAAATAGTTTTATGTGGTACAAATTTCATCTGAAGGGAAAAAGGGCATTAAAGCCTACAGGCCAGAGCTGTGAGTTGAACCATGCACATGGATTTCTGTACTCATAGCCCTTCCTGATGGGTTTTTGTAAGCATGTACCCACTCTTCCCCATGGAAACTATGTACAATTGTGGGAAAGTATGCCCCACATGTCTGGATGAACCATTATGATAATTCTTGTTCTGGACTTCTATTTAGTAAATGCTATAATTACTCCTATTTTTGCCTTCCATTTGAGTACATGTTATGATTATTATTGCTTTTGTCTTATCATTCAGTAAATGCTTTTTTTTTGTTTAAAAGTTGATGGTCAACAATCACAAAAGCAAAAGAAAATATTGCAAAATTACGAAGAAGAAACACAGCCCTAAAGAAGAGACATAAGAAGATATCCTGCTCCTCAACTTATTTGTGGAGGCAGGAAGTCCATGGGGATAGAACATTGTCTATGTTCATATTTTTAATATATTTATACAAAATTCTTGTTTTTTTCTCTTCCTATTTTTTTTCCTTTAAAATAAAACCCATTATTTATTAAATAGGATGGTTCTCTGGGGAGGGCAGGAGGAAGGATAAAGAGGGAAAATTAAATGATGTAAAAACAAAAGATATCAATACAATTTTCCTTTAAAATTTATGGTGAGTGAGGAAACTCAGAGAAGTTGAGTAGCAGGCACTGTGTCTAGTCGTGAACATGGTAAAAAGAAGCAATTCAAGAAACAGTACAAGGAGTTGGGTGAGGAAGATTTAACTTTCAAACAAAAACAGAAAGAATAGCAAAAACTGGAAGAGTTAAAAGCTATTGAGAAAGGACCACTTAGAAGAGGTGAAATTAAGAAATCTAATGAAAAGTAGACTCTCCTTAGATCAGACAGTGATTCCTATTGATTCCATTCCAATCATACACATATCCTACTGTGACATCTGTTGCTACCTGCAGCCAAAATAAGTGTCAGCTCAGAGACTGTTGTACATTTTAATGAACTTAAAAAAAAAGTTGTGGTGACTGATTTTATGTAAATGGGAAGAACACCAATGGCGGCTTAAGAGGTAGATAGAAGGAGTGTATCTCTTCCCTCATCTCTGCAACACATATACTGGGGTTACCTCCAAGAATCTGAGAATTTTCCGTTGTAGCCATGTGGTTTATCTCCCTCTAGAAACCACAGATCTGCCAGTTTGAGTTTAAGGTGGGGTGAGTCAGCCCAGAGAATAAAGGAATGGAATAAGTATACAAGCCCTTTTACAAATATCTCACTCTGTCCTCTTCACAATGACAACCATGGGGAATAGGTGCTGTTATCACCATTTTATAGTTGAGTAGACTGAGGTAAACTGAGGCTCAGCACTGTGTCACCTAGCTGCCTCAAGAGTGGAGGGGGTGGTCCTCTACCATACCTATGCTCTATATATCACATGTGGTAGAATAGTATATGCATATCATTCACAAATAAATATACACAGTAAGAATAGCTAACATCTATGTAGTTCTTTAATATTTGTAAAGTGTTTTACATGTATTATAACATTTCATAATATTTGTAGGAGACAGAACCTGGAGGCAGGAAGACCTGAGTTCAAATCCAGCCTCAGACGCTTACTAGCTGCATGACCCTGTGCAAGTCACTTAACGTCTGTTTGCCTCAGTTTTCTTCTCTATGAAATGGAGATAATAACAGCACCTACCTCACAGGACTTTTGTGAAGATCAAATGAGAAAATGCTTCAAAAATTATTTATTTTAATATTCTTTTCTTTTTAAATTTCGACTTCCAAATTTTTTCACTCCCATCCACAGAGAAGGCAAGTAATACATCAATTGTATATGTGAAATCATGCAAAACATATTTCCATATTAGCCATATTTCAAAAGAAGCACAAAAAATAATACTTAAAAATAAAAAAGTAAGAAAATTATACTTCAATTTGCGCTCAGTTCATCAGTTCTCTCAAACAAGAAAATATTTGTAAAAACACTTAGCACAATGCCTGGCACATAGCAGGTGCTATGCAAACGCTTATTTCTTCCCTCCCACATGGAGAGTGGCTCAAAAAATTGTTTTTGCTGAGGATGAATGATCAAAAAATTGGAGATCATTGCCTTGGAAAGCATCTCATCCAACACCCTCATTTTATAAATGAAGAAACTGAGGCCCAGAGAACTGAAGGGATTTGCCCAGGGTCACAGAGGTACTAAGTGATGGAAACAGGATTCTTTGACTCCAGATTCATAGTCCTCCCCACCACAGCACCCTTCCTCTCTCTGTATGTGTTCTCCCTCCTCCAACTATCTTGTGTCCATTAATCTTTTTCTTTCTTCTTTCTTTCTTTCTTTCTTTCTTTCTTTCTTTCTTTCTTTCTTTCTTTCTTTCTTTCTTTCTTTCTTTCTTTCTTTCTTTCACAATCAGGGTTAAGTGACTCACCCAGGGTCACACAGCTAGTAAGTGTCTGAGTCTGGATTTGAATTCAGGTCCTCCTGACTCTAGACCTGACTGTCCACTGTGCCACCTAGCTGCCCCATCCATCAATTTCTTTACAAGTTAGGTCCCTCCCATAGAATGTAAGCTTCTTGAAGTTTCTCATTTTGTCCTCGTATTCCTGATACCTAACACACAAGTTGGAGCTGAATGAACTCACTGAATTGAACTTTATTATAAGTAGGGGGTATATTCTTCTATTATAGATAATTTTAAACCAAATTTAGCTTAAATGGAATAAAGTTCTCACATGCTATCATTTCCCTAATATTTTAATATTTCTCTAAAGTTTGATTCTATTCTTGACCTCTTTCTTCAAGAAAGGACTTCATGCATTAGGGATCTGTAGGTTTTTCTCTTCTTCTTCCTCCTCCCATTTTTTCACAAAATCTCGGAGTTGGAAGGGACCTCAGAGATCATTTTGTTCAACCCATTCCTGAATCTCCTCTCCAACAGCTCAACAAGCCATCAGCCAGTATCCTCTTGAAAACCTTAGTGGCTTAGAAGTCATCACCTTCTGAAGCAGCCCACTTTCGGACAACACTAATATTAGGAAACTTTTTCATTCTATTAAGTTGAAACCTGCCTCTCTGCAACTTCTACCCATTCCTCCTAGTTCTGTTCTTTGGGACCAAGTGGATGATTCATAACGGCAGCTCTTTAGTTGTGTAGCGGCAGCTATCCCATGGCCTTCAATCTCTAAATTCTTTTAACCGTCCTGCATATGGTATAATCATCTTGAATATCTTCACCGTCCTGGCTTTCTTCTTCCAAATGGGCTCTAGCTTGTCAATCTCTTTTTAATATCAGGTTGCCCAGAACGAACCGCAATACTTCAGGGGTGGGCTCACGACGTCCCTTGTTCTGGACCCTATACCTCTATTACTGCAGCCAAGGGTACATAAATGTAGCTGCTACCTCAGGACCCAGCCAGGGACCTCACAAGCTCACCAGGGAAATGCAGATGCCACCCAGCGCCCTGATTTGATCGGCTGCCCTCCCAGAAGCACAGCCTGGGCCACACATGATATCACCAGGGAAGACAGGAGGGAGATCCCCTAACACACCACAGTTCTGCTGCTGCACGCTTCTTAGGACCTTCCTTGGCATCCTCTTCCCACTGTCTATGCTACAGTGAAACTTTCACAAGGGTTGGGCCAGTCTGATCAGGTCTTGAAGGCAGGGCACAGTTGGTTTAAATACCTCCTGGAATTGGGTGGAGTCTCTAATGTTCATGTTCAGATGACCTCTTCTGTTTGTCCCTATGCTCATTTCAGATTCATATTCCTAACTGTAGATCTGGACTGCACTATCCACATTCAATTCAACTAGTTCAATTCAGCAAGCACTTATTAAGCATCTTCCGCATGCCATATTAGAGCAGCTAAGTGGTGCAGTGGATAGAGTGCCAAGCACAGTCAGGAAGACTCATCTTCACAAGTTCAAATCTGACCTCAGATACTTCCTAACTGTGTGACCCTGGGCAAGTCACTTTATTCTGTTTGCCTCAGTTTCCTTCTCTGTAAAATGAGCTAGAGAAGGAAATGGCAAACCACTCCAATAACTCTACCAAGAAAACCTCAAAGAGTCGGCCATGACTGAAAAACATCTGAACGGCATGTCACATCTCCGCAAGGTGCTGGGATACAAAGATCAAAACAAGCAAACTAAAAACTAGCTCTTGTCCTCAAGGAGTTTACATTTTCTTGGCTGGGGACAACATTGATGCAACATATAGGGAAGGGAACATACATTTATTAAGTACCTATTATGTTTCAGGCACTCTGCTAAGTGTTTTACAAATCCTATCTCATCTGATACTCACAGCCACCCTGGGAGGAAGGGGCTATTATGATTTCCATTTTACGGTTGAGGTAGTCAGAGGTTAAGTGACTTGCCCAGGGTCGCACAGGTAGCTACCCAACCCTCTCTTTTTCTACACACACACACACACACACACACACAGAGTAAATTCACAAATGTACAACATGGGTGGGGGGAGGAGCACTAACCACCGGGAGGCTCAGGTAGAAACTTCTTGCATAACTGGCTACTTAAGCAGAACACTGAATTAAATCTGAATGTAATAAATTGTTCTTCATCCATTACTTCATTCATCAAACTTTAATTAAGATGATAATCTTGTTTTCTTGACTGAGAGAGTTTTTAAATGAGAGGTTGATTAGTTCAATTATTTAAAAGATTGAGCTGGCTCCATTTCTACTTATTTATACAACAAACTTGAATTGTTTCTTTAAATTCTAAATCACCAAAAAGAAGCCTTTTCTGTTCTCCACCCATGTCAATGAAGCATTTCATTCTTGTACTAAATTGCATGTTTGGAAAACATTGCCAGGTGGGTGCAATAGTAAGAAGGGCTGTAAAGAAACATAAAGTTTATGAGTAAATTCCTGATTAGTTGGCTCTGAGAAACAAGCTTCCATGACATAGTCTTATGATTTTCTTTGCCCCTCCCTCCAAAAAGTCAAGCTGTCCCAAAGCCTTGGGAGGTTTGTATGTGTGGGTGTTCTCTCACCTCTGGGGCCTATAATTTATTGTGTTGTGCAAAGCCAGAAGGAGAAAATTGGGAAGAATAACTCAGAGGGAAACAATGAACAGAATAGCCTCTAGAAAATGTAATTAAAGATCCTTCCAAGAAAGCAATCATTGTTTTTATTTTGGTTTTCTTCTAAAAATTGCAAAAGGAATTGGATGGTTAACCAAGAGGTTGAATATACATTATCATCCTCAGGATATTATTCACAAGGAGAGGGAAATGGGTAAGAATCAGGAGAGTTACACCTGGGATATATTATGAAGACTTGACATACCTCAGATCTGTCGAAGGACTAGTACTTTATTAATCATGGAATCTTTGTCAGTGTTGAGCATTAGGGCTGAACTCCAATTAATGAAGATACAATCTGAGAGAAGAATAAGTTAAGGGTGACTATCTTTTACAAGGATTTTCAGGGGAAAGTTTCTAGCTCAGCATAAATACCCAAACACA